GGGTTTAGGGTTTCGCACCCACTCATTCCTTTTAGGGTTTAGGGTTTCGTACCCAACCACTCCTTTTAGGGATTCGCATTTTGGGTTTAGGGTTTCGCACCCACTCCTTTTAGGGTTCAGGGTTTAGGCTACGCACCCACTCACTCCTTTTAGGGTTTAGGCTTTCGTACCCAGCCACTGCTTTTAAGGTTCAGGGTTTCGCATTTGGGGTTTAGGGTTTCGCACCCACCCACTCCTTTTAGGGTTTAGGGTTTCGTACCCAACCACTGTTTGTAGGGTTCAGGGTTTCGCATCCACCCACTCCTTTTAGGGTTCAGGGTTTCGCATTTAGGGTTTAGGGTTTCGCACCCATGCACTCCTTTTAGGGTTTAGGGTTTCGTACCCAACCACTGTTTGTAGGGTTCAGGGTTTCGCACCCACCCATTCCTTTTAGGGTTCAGGGTCTCGCACCCACCCACTCCTTTTGGGGTTCAGGGTTTCACATTTAGGGTTTATAGGGGTTCGCACCCACTCACTCCTTTTAGGGTTGAGGGTTTGGCAGCCACCCAATCGTTTTAGGGTTCAGGGTTTCGCACCCACGCACCCCGAAAGGAACACCCAAATCCAAAAAATCATCATCGTCATCATCATCATCAAACTCATCATCATCGTCATCATCATCAGAGTAGGTGCACCTTGCTCCGAGTAGGTGCGCGGCCACAAGAACATGCAAGAATGCAAATCAGCGTGCACGCAGAATCCTCGAGGCAGTTGTCATTTTCAGGGGCGAGTTGCTCGCGCGGCACAAGAAGAAGCCAAAATGCAAAAGAGCTCACACGCAGAATCCTCGAGACAGTTGTCATTTTCGGAGGCGAGTTGCTTGCGCGCCTAATTGGGGCCTCCCTCGCCGTCCCGCGACCATGTGCCGAGTAGTATGCGCCTGCCAGCTAAAACAGACCCCGCCCTGCTCCACAGAGAAGGTGCGCGGGCAAACCGACCATTTTGCGCGTAATTATAGTACTACTATAATATCATTATATTTTATGAACGTCCCATAATCACGACCTCAACGAAGGCCTCCGAGACTTTTCACTGGGCTTCTTGATAGGTGCACCAAAGAGGGATTTCCCAAATTAGCAATTTTTAGAAAGGATTCCCATGAAAGCCCCGCGAAAGCGCACCTATGAGGATTCGTACAAGCAACCATAATACGGGAACATGTTTCAAGCTTGTATTTCAACTCACTAGTTTAAACATCTCGGCTTCCACAGATGCGATTGACCAGATCAGATAGACCTTTTTAACAAGCTCCAACGTGCAAATCCCCATTATTTGTAGATTTTCTTGTTTAAAAAGCGTTCGTTTAAGCCGTTCGAGCATAACCCTGTCCCAACGCTGCAGAGGCGGAAGCAAAGGAGGAGAAGGTGGGAGCATATGCCAAGGAGCACAGCCACCGCATACAAGGCATGCTGCGACCTGCGGTGGAATCTGCAATCTATGAGCACGGCCAGGGTGAGAGCTTGCGCGCTCGCATTGTGCGACGGGTGGAGGAAGACTCAAAGATCCATCTAACCCTGGAGCAAACAGACTTCACACAGGGCCTTTCAGACGATGCTTTTCTCGGCAAGAAGCCCGAAGAGATCAAAGAGGTCTCCCTTAGGATGGGAATCGGCGAGATTTCCCACGTTAACCAAGGTGTTGCGAAGCTCGTGACATGGTTCCGAAAGGCAGAGGAGCTGCAACTTGACCGTCTTGATTTCTCTGGAACCAAACTTGCAGATGATGCCCTGGGCCTGATCCTGAAGCTTCCTTGCTTCCGCAAGCTCAGGTTTCTTGGATTGGCAGATACGCTAGTCAGTGTCGACGGGCTTTGTGACGTTATCGAAGAAGTCTTCAGGTGTCGGGCTGGAGAGCCGGAGACGGAGCGGCACTGGCTAAACGTGAAGATGGGCTATAAGTTCTGGCCGCGCAGCCAACCGAAGGATCAACAGAACAACCGATGGCACGCCTTGAAGGGGCGAGTTTCAGAGGTCGGAGGGGATTGCCGTTATTTTGACAACAAGCGCTGGAACAAAAGCTGGATGTTGCACATCGTCAAATGCCAAGATCGGGATAGTGCAGGCAGGATGTTGCTGAAAGTGTCCGCCTGACCATGTTGGACGCGATGCTGCCCAGGACTCTTTGGCAGGAGGACCCACTTCTGAGACATGTGCAAAACCTTTTCAGCTTTCGCTTTGTTGCCCCTGTAGCCGCTGTGGCCAAAGCTAGAATTTCACCAACTGGAAAGGAGAGGTCAGTTGATATCAAATTTAGTGTTGGGGTGCTTGTTACCCACGACTTGCAAGGAAAGCGCTCCTGTCCGAGTTTTTGCCGCTGGAGCTGACACCAGGCGGGTTTTGGGTTTAGGGTACCCTGTTGCCCTTGTTGTTTTGTGGCCTCTTTATTAGAACTGACTAGCGAGAAAAACGGGGACCCTCATTTTGAAGGGGTTGCTGGGACCGCTAGATAGAAGGGGCGTTAAAAGTTACTGAGATTGTTCCCTAGACCTCGTTGTTTTTGTACTTATGGCAAGTTATACTTTAAACAGGGCCTAGCATGGAAGCTTGAATCATTAGTAATTCTTGTCTTCAGGTTTCCTTGTTGCCATAAAGTACAGCATCTTAGGTTTTGACAAAGGTGCCTAAAGGATTAGACCTGACATTAAATGTGGCGGACACCGATAGCAAGACAGTTTATTCTGTTATGCTCCTTAACACTCCGATGACACTCTGACCCCATAAGACCCTGCAGCACCTCACAAAGCTGTGAGAGGCCTGTGGTACTCTGCAAGCTTGATGTCCGAACCTGAATCCCTCGAGATGCGGGCGTGCTTGCAGATGTACGCAGGTGAGACTGCTGCATCCTCACGCTGGGCCCTAAGGGTCCATGTACCCAAATAGTATATACTTTGGCCGCAAAGCGCCTATATAGGGACTACTCTGTGGCCAGAGTAATATACAATATTTTTTCTACATGGAAACCTTTACCCAAAACCCTAAACCGTTATGGTACCCTGATCGTCCTACCCTGATAGAACGCTTACAGGCACCCTTCAAAGGGACCTCAGCAGTTCACTGTCCATGGATCGGCAACGCCCCAAACCAGGTTAAAGGGGCTTGCAGCGTCGCAAATAGATTGTGCTTTGATTTATTTGTTCATGTTTTATGTACGTTTAGGTTTTTATCACCTTGTATCCCTATATGTATGTATATATGTAGGTGTATATCTATATACACACATATACATTTTTTGCATATATATATGCATATATATCTGATGGTATGTGGTGTACTTCAGAGCTGGCCTAGGCACAACAGCAAATCAGATGCCGACTTCCAAGCCCTTACGCCCACGTACACAGCTCTTGGTACCTGCGAAAAACCCTCCAAGGGGCCATAATAGCCATACTCTATTTCAGACCGTGCAGCCCCAGATACCCCCAAAGCCCAAACTTTGTCAGATTCACGTCAGGCACAATGCCTCACAAGTAGAACATGTTAGCCAACAACGCCCTGTCAGACCCAAGCATTAAGCCTGATCAATCCTTACCAGACATAAGCTATCTACGTCCGATCCTAAACTCTAGGCCCTAAACCCTCAAACCTGTAATGTCCCCCCCGACCCGAAAGAAAGTCTTTGCGCCGAGAAGGCACGGATCCGGACACTGCCAGCCCTGCATCACCAGAGGAGCAACGGGGTTTAGGGTTTAAAGTTTAGGGTACAGTGTAGGTGGCTCTGACTTCCGTAAAAAAGTCGGGGGTTCAGCTTGGGGAGCATGGGTTCAGGCTTTTGGTTCGCAGGCCCCTGATATCAGGTGTGGGATTGCAGTGGGATTGCACGACTGTCAAGCATGACATTGACGCTTATTTGCCGGGCAAGTGGCTTGTGGGCTGCGGTCATCATTGGTCATCATCCATCCGTTGCACCTTCATCCTTTGAAAACCTCACAGTTATGCTTTCTCCAGATGAGTGTGGCCTCTGCTCGCAATGAAGACTTCGTCGGGCTTTGTTCCGGGTACTATGTATTGTTGTGCCCCCCCGCCCAATAATGGCAAGTGTTCCTGGCCTCGCCATAAAGTCTGAGCCATCTGCAATGGCAGCCGAGTCACGTGATAGTTTGTGAATCCTTGTCAGCGACAGCTGCGAACTAAGAAACTATCTGTTCCTGTAGGAGGGCCCCTGGCTCCCATCCACACGACCAAGAATCTGAGAGCTTTCATTTGGGTTTAGGTCCCCATAAGCGTCCATGTGCCCCAAAGTACCTATATAGGTTCCTTTGAAGCCAAACAATATACTCTTTGGGTGCATGGCCCCTTACATCCTAAACCCCCAACCATTATGGTGCCCTTATGACCGTTCCCATATAGAACCCTGAACGGCACCCTTGAAAGGACCCTCGCTTTTAAGAATCCTTAGGGGCATTTTAGGGTTCCGCGTGACTTTTCTGCCCGTGCAGGAGCTCATCGATGAGGTTGAGGCCATGCGGAGCATTTATGGTCGCTCGGTTCGCACCTTGATACACAGGGTTTAGGGGGTTTAGGGGGCTTAGGGTCTGGGGGTTTAGGGTTTTGAAATTTGATTCGCAGCTTGATACACAAGGTTTAGGGTTTAGGGTTTTGATATACATAGCCGCCAACCCTAGCCCATGCACCTGAACAAACCCTCACTCGAACTGAACCCCCGATGCCCTAAACCGGGTTTAAGGTTTAGGGGTTTAGGGTTTAGGGTTTAGGGGTTTAGGGGTTTAGGGGTTTGTGCCCAAACGCCTCAAAGGGGTGGCGCATCGGAGTTTGCGACAAGACGAGCCAGGGTTCCCTCGTCGCCCCGAAGAGCAGAGACCAGCTACAGAGAAACATGCCAAGTTAGAGTTGCATCATTATAAAATGTTTTAGATGCATTGCCATTTATGTAGAGAGATAACTACACACATACATGTGTTATAGTTGTATGTATATATATATACATATATACATACATATATATATATATATGTACACATTGATTCATGTATTCATATATATATACATACATACATACATACATACATACATACATACATACATACATACATACATACATACATACATACACACATGTATGCTTATGTGTTATTTTTATTCGTTGTGTCGGGCCAGTGATTTCATGGTACTTTGCGGCTCGAGTCGTCTCGCTCTCGGACTCAAGAGGCAACTCTTCCATGCAGAGATATGTCATTGGAATAGGGTTTTGCCTGTGGAGGGACTTGACGGGGATAGGATTTGCTAAGTTGTTGTTGGGACTTCTGCATTGGGCCTGGAGTCAGCTACGAGGCCAAAGCTGTTGCAGACTCACTCTTTGGACCCGGAAGGTGTTGAGAACTGTTTCCGGGATTACTGTTTCCGGGATTCCAGTCCGGTGTTTACATGATTTACATGTTCGTTTGTGTACGAGGCGCAGACATTCTGCCATGCATTTAAAGGGTAGTCCTGCCACTTAAGCAGGTGGGGAAACCATGGGATCCCAGTCGAGGGACCGCTTTTGTACTATAGTGGAACTCTGATCTCCAGAAGCCCACGATGAAGCCGAAAGCATCCTACATGCCCTACGAATCCAAATAACAAGCCCCATAAAGCCCTGAAGCGACCCTATAAACCCTAAACCCCTGAACCTCTGAACCACTAAACCATAAACCGCCAAACCCTTTTGAAGCTGAATCTCCCTGGAGCATCCTCCGAGAGCAGCAGCCCCTTGCTTTCCGAGGCGAAGAGGACGTTCAGACGTTTGGACAGGTGGGGCTCTTGAACGGTTTAGGGTTTTGTGGTTTCAGGGTTTAGGTTTTTAGCGTTTAGGGTTGAGGCTTCATGATGTTTTGGGTGTAGGCTGCGGTGGGGTTGGTGCAGGAATGTCGATTGGGCTCAGACCCTAAACCCAAAAGCCTAAAGCCCAAACCCCAGGGGGTTCAAGGGTTTCAGGGCACAGCTTCGAAGCTGCGGTAGGGTATACAGCCTGGGCCCAGTGTACCTGTAGACTACTCCCAGGCCAAAGTTCGGATTATATACGTACACCGGGCGGGCATGTGCAAACAATTCCGAAGCACGGACTACTCAATTGGGTGCTCGGTTTGCCATGTTCTGTGTTTCGAACGGTTGCAGATCTGGCATGCCATGAACCCCTAAACCCCGAACCCTAAACCCTAAACCTTATAACCCTAAACCTTAAGCCCTAACCTGTCTTTACGACGAAGCGCCTACACTTGAGCGACGTGCCGATAATACTCGACCGACTCTGATCATTAGGGTTGAGGGTTTAGGGTGTAGGGTTTAGGGAGTGTGTGCGAAATCCGGTGCAGACTTCCTTCACTTGCGGTACAAAGCTTTGAACTGTGGGGTCGTCTTGGCTTGGGCGGCTGATGCTGGGTTCACAAATGTTCATAACACAATCTGCGAAAGCTTGGAGCTCCGTTCACACATGACCATTGTTTTGTTCACGAAGGCCCTTATGAATTATGGTGAGTATGCTGCAGAAGTCCCAAGCACAATGTATACCCTAGGTACCTTGAGCCCTATTTGTTCAACATTTCTCGACTACCATGAGGTCTGAATAATTAGAACTCGGTATATAACTGATTGAAAACATGGAACTTGGCTTGAGCACCTATGCATTGGTCCTCAACCCCAAGCCTACGGGCCTACAGGTAAACAGCAACAGCTTGTATTGAATACTACAGAGGCTTTATTCAATGATTGCCAACACGATTTTGGGGGCTCCTTCTTGTAGTTAGAGTAGAACATACTGCAAAACCCTATTCTAATTATTCAGTATAAACCTCTAGCTATAGATCCCTCAATCAAAGAACTCTTGAAGGAACACTTTAACGGAACCTTCTTCTAGTTATGGTTGCCCCTATATGGGCAGTTCTCTAAGTTAGGGTCCTTTTTTAGGTTCCAAATAAAGTACGGCACCCTAATAAAAAGGACCCTAAAAGGGATCCTCATTTGGAGAACTACCTATACTATCTTAAGCCCGACGCCGCAACTCTGATCCCCAAGCCATATGCAACGGACATGGTTTAGTGAAGTGTTTTCAGGTTCAGGGTTTAGGGGTT